GTACGTGCTATGTCTTCTCTCAGGGAGAGTGACTAGTCTCGAGTCATTGGTGTGTGTGACATCAAGACAAGTACGTAGGTGCTCAATAGAGAATGAGTTCACTGAACACGATCAACGAGGAGTTCTCATATTCATGTCACATGAGAACTCATGGTTGGGATAATGCAAATTAGTCTTTTGACCTGAGGCATCACAGTTGTCTTGTGGTTAGGTCCTTAATCTTTGATTATGTCAAAGTCACTCCATCAGGAGGATGTCCATGGCATCGTTGGGGTTAAGCCACTTAGCCATGGAGGCAAGTGAATGCGCAACAAGGGATCTCTAACCTTCAAACTGTTTGAGGGAGAATACTCTATGATATGATTGAGAATCTTTGGCCAAAGTATGAATGAGATTTAGGAATGTGTTCCAAATCACATTCATGGTAATCATATAAGCACAAGACTCACATTGGATAGTAGACATGAATAAACTATCAAACCAAACAATGTGGTCAAGAGTATTGTATTAGAGAAAGACCGTATTGCATTTGTAATCCTAAAACTGAATAGGTTTTCCACCTCTTCTGATTAGCTTGGGTAACCATGACATGCTGCTAGGCGTCAACCATGGTTTGTGGAAGCCCTAAAAGTGTATTATCACTAACGGGAGAATTGAAAGTAAGTTTCAATTCACAATCGATTAGAAAGAGTTTTAATCGCCCACTGCCTCGCTAAAAGGAACCTAGTGGATCGTTCACCGAGTAAGGTAGAGTTTGAAGAAACAACGGAGATGAGTAAGAATAATTAAATGGTTTAATTATTTATCTAAGGCTAGGATTAATTAATATGTTAATTAATCAAACGAATAAGTTCGTTAAAGACCTCGGGTTAGTTTTGGGCCGCAAGGCCCAATGGGATTTGAATGTCAAGCCCATTAACTCAAGTTGTATGACAACTTGAATAAACAAAGGGCTTGAAAGCCCAATAAACCCTATAGGCCGGCCATGGTAAAAGAATAGGGCTTTTGGTCCATTAGGTCACTTATTTGAAGGGACTATATAAAGGACTTTATAGCCTAAAATTTACGAAGGGTTATTTTTGGGGAAAAGGATGAGAACACAAGCTCTCCTTTCTCTCTAAAATTTCGGCCAACCTTGGAGGGATCATCTAGCAATCAAACTCCTCCAAGGTCACTCATTTCTTCTTCATTATGCCTTGGTGATGAATCATTAGAGGTTCTCAATTTTGGGAACTTGGAGAAACCTTTTCATCCATCCAAATCCATGGATCTAAGATGCAAGGAATGAAGGCCCTCTCTTTGGGTGATTAGCCTTTGCTTATGCAAAGAGGAATCTACAAAGGTATTTATTTCTCAACTCACTTTGTTTTGAGTTGAGTCTTGGTTCACCTATCTACTAGGCTTTGAATTTCATGGGTAAATGTTTTGTTTTTAAGTGCATACAAGCATGATTCCGCCTTTAATTGTTAATTGCATGCTATTGATGTTGGTTAAATGAACATGTTTTTCACAAATCTTCCTTCATTTACGTTGCACTTATCATTTCTTTATGTAAAATCAGTTTTTATTTATTCGTATTACTATTTCCATTATTATTTTATTAGCTTCCACATTGTGCACATGGCTACTTCACTTCCACGTGACGGCCAGCATTCCCTGGTCTCGATCGGGGTGTGTCATTATATGTCAACCTATTTCAATTTTAAAATTAAAAACTTATTTAATCACTCTTCTAAACATATTCTTTTATATTTCTATTTTTAGTTTGTAGCTATTTTTTTTTTATTTGTACCACTATTCATTTTAGTTTTAATTTGTACCCATTTCGATTTTTTTGTGCCCATATTTATTTATTTATTTATTTATTTGTACTCCATAATTTTAAGTTTTAATATGTATTAATTTAATTTGTGCCGATATTTTTTTTTGTTCTAAAATATATCAACAGTTTTTTATAATAAAAAAAATATTAATAATTGCATGGGTATATTAATTGTTTTGCAAAAAATATGTGAAGAAAATATTATCTAATTAATTATTATATTTTCAAAATATTATTTACTTTTATTTGAATTTTTTTTAAATGTCATAATTTGTGAGATACTGAATCCACAAATGCAGGAGTTATAATGATTCTAAGGACTTCAACCAAAATATTTAAACAAACATGATTTCATTTTAACAAAAGGATGAACTAGATATAGGAACCAAAATGATCATAAATTTTTTTTCAATAGAGCAATATAAGAAAATTTTCAAGTAAAAGAAAACAAATAAAAAGGGGAAACCAGCACGCTCAATTAATAAGAGAAACGAATGCGACAAAATATAAAGGGCAAGTGTTGAGGACATGGATCCTCTCCGGATCCATTGGTCTTATAATCCACTAAGTCACATCATCCAGATTATTGAAATTTGATTAAATGACTAAAGTTATTATAACTTTTAAAGTGAACCCTTGTTTGTAACCGTTAGATCAAATTTCAATGGTCAAGATAATGTGACTTGGTGGATTAGGACACATGGATCTAGAGAGGATCCATGTCCAAGTGTTGATACTTTGGGTTTGGATTCTACGAATCTGATTAGTTAAATTAACTACTCATCTCTTGCTGCAATGAGTGAGATTTTTTTAGTTTGTCAAAAATATAGTTCGATAAACATAGTGTCATAATACAAATGGTTGGATGCTTGAAAATTTTTTTTTAACATTTATTATGACATTTGATGTACTCAGTCGTATTACGGGTGCACAGAAATTTTTTTTCCTGCAATGGAGTTCAAAAACTAATATTTATTCCCTTGTTTTCTTATACCAAATTAACATCCGCACCATAAGAACGAGCTTAATTAATTTGCTTCAGTCAGTGAAATGACACCCACTGAGATTGGGAGAAAAATCAATTTTTTTTTTTACTTTTCGCATGAGGAAGATTTACAGAGATTTTCAAAAGTTCACTAGGAACCCTATCAATCTATATATTTACCATAACCTTCCTTGTTTTTTTTCAACAAGCTCTTCAACTATTCAGCTCCTCAAATTTAAATCTCTCTGTTCTCTGTTTTCCTCGGTTTTCGATCACTTTCTCCTCGTTCCATTGCCGGCGAAGTCAATGGCGGGACAGAAGGAGAACCGGAATCGCAAACAACCCTGCGAAATCAGTTCGCTGTGCCACAAAAGGCACCAGACGCTGCATAAGAAAGCTGAGGAGCTCGAGGAGATCGATGCGAAGGTTTGCATTGTTTCTTATGATATCGATGGTAATTTAGGGCTCTGGCCGGAAGACGAGCGCGAGGCTCGAGCCATCATGATGCAGTTCAAAGAAGCTGATAAGAGAGCAAAGTTATCACGAATGCGTGGATCGGAGGTCAGGATTTCAGATATATTGGGAGGCAAGATAAATAAGATGAAGGGAAAAAAGAAGGGTAAGATGGAAGGACAAATGAAGGATTTCGAAGGTTTTGATGATTGCGGCGAGAAGGGTTTTGAGGGTTTTGAAGATCGTGGCGAGAAGGGTTTTGCAATGTGCGATGATGAGGATTTAGGGCAGCTGGGTGAGTTGCATAGGGATTCGTGGTGGTGTATAACTAGGTTTATGAAGAGCCGTATACAAACTGCGGATGAGATGGTTCAATCTTACTTGGGGACAAAGCTATTCAGCCTTATAATTTCAACACTGTTATGGCCACCACTCCAAATTTCTCAGTAGATTCTGGACCAGCCTGTCCAAGGTTGCCACTTTCCGGATATAATTATCACGACGAGAATCGTATCGTTAGTGTTGATAATGTCGGATTTTCTTCTGAAGTTGGGAGTGATGGTCGCAGCGATCTCGATAATGCTTGTGGTTATAATTCATGGGGGAATTATTTTGATTTAGGGGATGATTCTAATGGGGATTTTGGTGAGATGGGGGAGAAGATTAACAACAATAATCCTACATTGTTGGGCTCTTTTGCTTAAAGCTCCAATATTTACAGTGAGAATCAATCAGATTTTGAGGCAGCGGACAACCTTGCTGCTAATTTGATGGGATTTGAAAGCTGTGCTGAGAATAATAATGTCAATGTTGGCGGTGTTATAAATCCCCCACAAACCCTAATTAGCTCATGGGGTAGGTATTTAAGTCGCATTCATCAATCAAAGGTATCCAAACGTCCGGAGGCATTGCCGTTTTCAGTCTGGCCAGAGTCCTTGCAGTATGCTATGTCCAATGTTTTTTAGATACATATATAATTGGTACGTACAAGCATATGTATAACTATAGCATTACTCTTTTTGTTTCATCAGGCCTAGGGTGTCTCCTTAGCATTTACTTATATCCAACAATAATTTAACTTTGAACATACAAAACTGACACGCTTGCTGATACATTCTCTAATATAAACGTGACCTTTTACCATTGTATGTGGAACTGATCGCCTATAATAGCGAGTGTTGTGGTCGTACTTTTGAGGCGGTTGTATGTGGTCTTTGCTTGTGAGCAATGAGTTATGTGGTCTCACTCTTCTACGATGATTTTATGTTGCCTCACTATTCAACGGTGACCAATGTGTGCACTTACATACGTATCTTGCATCTATCATTTGTAACGAAATATGTAATGGTGCCGATTGGATGGTTGTGCTTGTATAGTTATCATATAGAAGTTTTACTCAATTTGTGTGTATGTGCGCATTCACTCCACATCAATTTGATCACTAGATCAATTTATTCATAACTGAAGCAATGTACACAATTGACACCCTTGTAATTGTTTGTTGATGAATATTGTTTAATGTATTGGCCGTGTAAGCACTTCGATTCATATTTAATACAATATTCTATTTTTTAAAAGAAAGTCCCACTTAAACAAGGGGTGAATTTTTATATCGTCTAATATTTTGATGGGTATATTCCAGTTGAGTATATAAAATAACTTAGATCCTTTTTCTTTTTTGTTATTGCAAAGCACAAAGTTAATTAAGAAATCACATAAAAATGATTTTGGTTTTGGTCAAAGCATAAAACCTCTATGTATTCAAGTAAGCATTGCAAGTATAACATTACACCCAAACAAACATTATTTTATCAAACAAACAAAAACTATTTGTGGCCAATAAATATTGGTGCAATCATATCTGGCCACTTAATAATAATAAAAAGTGTGATACATTATTCAAATTTCAACATAAAATTAAGTAGCTAAACGTTAATTAATTAGTTGATTAATTAATGGACGTGAAGTTGAAGTTGGCACACGTAGTTTGCGTAAACAGAAGCGATGAGCTGAACCCTAGCCTTGACGTGGCCAAATCGAACTGCAGCAGATTATCCTCCAGCTGGAGCCCTCCGATCACGATAGAAGTTCTCGGATTCTCGCCGCCGTTCACAATCCCAAGGCACAAAACGCTGTCGTTCACCTGCACCATAGAGTTCGCCCCGAACACCCTCCAGAACGTGCTGTTGTTCTGGAACACAAAGTCAATGCTGGGCACGGACGGCCCAACGCGCGTGCTCAGCACATTTTCTGTGCTGAAGCACACCTCGAACGGGCCAGTAGCGCCTGTTTGAGTGATGTTTCTGGCTTTAGCTTCGCTGATGAACATCTCAGTCACGGCCTTGAATATGGAGGCCTCGAGGACCGTGTAGGGGTTGACGGTGCTGATCTTGGTCCCACCGACGCCCTCGCCGTCGATAGATAGAAGCGTCGTGTTGATGGCGACGGCTTTCTCGTTGACGTTAATGGCGTTGACTTGGATGAAGTATTCGGACGAGGGCTCGCCTTGGGTGAAAGCCGACGCCGTGCTGACTGGATTAATGTACAGCCGGGTGTAGATCAGGGACTGCGAAACGTCGACGTTTCTCGGGAGGAACACGTAGGGACCGTCCCCGAAAAAGACGACGCCGTTTACGTCAGTACGCGTGGAGGACGACAGACAGATGGCGAACGTCCTGTCGAAGCTGAACGCCGATGCGAATTGCGAAGGTAGAGATATTCTGGTGCGGCCGAGTCCAGCCATCCCCGAAACCCCCGCAGCAAGGCCTTGTAATAAGAAAGTCGGCGCGCAAGCGAAAAGGAACCGCGAAACGGTGACGTTTGGTCCCGGGTTGGAACCGGTGGTTGACTGGACTGAAACGACGTCGGATGCGAGCTCACCGCCTGTCGCTGTGTGCGTGAAGGTGTTGTCGGGGGTGAGGCCGCAGGTGTTGTTGTTGCATCCGGGTTTCGGGGAGGAGAAGCAATCGCCGCAGCCGGTGGCTTTCGCGAGAGAGCACTGGGCCGAGTGGCAACGCGCTGGGCGGTACGTGGATGACACGTAGTTTTGTTCGCAGTCGACCCATAAGAACTGGCCGCCTAGGTCGAGGACTAGGTTTATGGGGACGAGAGGGGTTCTTTGGGAAATGTGGGTGGTGTATTGGAGGGTAGAAGCGTCTTTTGAGACTGGGACGACGAGGGCTTTTGGCCGGAAAGATTGTTGCGCGAAAGTGGAAGAGGGGTTGAAGAAGAAGAGGAGAAGTGTGGAAAAGACGATATAGGAAGCCATGGCTGAGTTGAAGGATTGTATGAGAACCGCAAGGTGTATTTATAGTTGATGCGGTGGGTATGGTAACTTGTGTGCTGGTGTTTAATTATTAACAAGCAAAAAGGGGGAATATGCTATTTGAAGTTTGAACTTCTCGTTCTATCTTCTTGGCTATGTTTTTTAATTTGTAAAGTTCCACGATAAATCGTTTATTTTTTCAAGTCGTCATATAAAGATCAATTTTACAAAAAATTGATTAAAATGAAATCATTAGTCATGTAATTGCTTCAATAAATAAACAAATTATGTAGTCTTGCTTACACACTGAAATTTGACAACGTTAATGAAATGGTCAAACAATTTATAATTTAATTAATTTTGTGCAAGTTAATTTTTTTAAAGTGACATATAAATTAGATAGCTTCTATCATAAAAATAAATAAATAAAAGGTATAAACGAGAAAGATGCAAACATTCACTGAAAAAAAAAAAAAAAAAAAAAAAAAACAATTTATATGACTAAAAGTTTTTTATGCCTTAAATTAAGACCGACTAGTCATCATCAAAAATCTCTTTGGATTTATATGTATACGTAAGAGGATAAGGGAGCGAAAAGGTTGATGTCAACGGATGCTGCTGGTTTTATGCATATATGTGGTAAGCTCGATCAAGGTGGCAAAGGGAGCTTGTAATATCTGTCTACAGTAATTGACTTTGAAGGTTGATTATTGAGGACTTCTCTGTTTAAATAGGCATAGTTGTCGGTCTCATGTTTCCGTATAAACTCGTAACAATGCTCATCCACTTAAATTATATATATAGGGAATTGTTATTGGCATTCCAAAAATCACATTCTACACTTCAAACTTTATATATTTGGAAAGAAAAATATAGTGTAGAATGAGATTTTTGGAGTGTCAATAACACTTCTATATATATATATATAGTGTTTTGGATTTGATCCGAAATCGATTTTTGTTTGTAGCCAATGGTCTAGTGATTTTGAACAATCAATATTATCTACACTAAGAAGAGGGGGTTGGCTTATCACAATGGACTAGCAATAATGTGGTTCAAATTCACATTTGACGAGAATCAAACATAAGACCTCTCACTTACAAGTGAAGAGGAATACCACTGGACCTAATACTTTTAAATGAATGAAAGCATTTTTAGAGAAAATATTTTTGAGTTACTAAAAGCACTAAAATGCTTTGCAAGAACAATCAATTATGTGCTTTTTGTAGGAAACACTGCAAGTGTATTTTCAAGATTTACTTGCATTTTTACTAAAGGTTGATCCTAAAAACATTTTCATAAAAAACACTTTCAGTTATTTTCACTACTACAAAAGGACCTAATAGTGTCACTTCTTGCGTCGCTTTAATATTATATAGTGGCGAAAAAGAGATTTGCGACACTCAGTGAAGATGACGTCGTATTTAGTGTCGCTTATAAGCGTCATAAAATTTCTATGTCGCTTTTAAACCGACGTAAAAATTTAGTGTCGCTTATAATCGACATATATTTTAATATTTTTAAGCAATGGCGTCGCTTTAAATAAAATAGTGTCGCTTTTAAGCGACATAAACTATTAGTGTCGCTTCTAGGCGACACTAATTCTTGTTTTTAATATTTTAAATCTTGCGTCGGTTTTGAGCGACATATATTTTGAAAACCAGTGTCGGTTGTAAGCGACACATTGTTGCTCTTTATACCCTCTCCCCCGTGTTTTCTTTTTCTTCTCTTGCACTTTTCTTATTCGTTCTTCCAATTTTTACAAAGTCTCCCGTGTTCCTCTTTCAGCTATCTCCTTTGGTTTGCAAACTTCATTTGTTCCTCTGTTCTCTCTTTCAGCTTTCTCCTTTGGTTTTCAAAATTCATTTGTTCCTCTTCACAACAGTAAGTTTTTCTTGCTTATAATATTTTTATTTTCACAACAGTAAGTTTTTCTTGTTTAATTTTTAGTTACAATTTATTTTTGTAGGAAAGTTATTGGAGTTGGTTGAGTACATAAAGAATTGTTGACGTCGAAATTCTTCAACAAATCAGGTTTGTATCCCTAACTTCTTTAATTTTTAAATTGTATAATACACAAGTTTATTTATTTAAAAATTATAATTTAAGCACTTAGATAAAATTCTACTATTTTTGTTAAATTAATAAAAATTTAGTCGAATTAATTAATTTTGTCACTCTAATTGTTATTTTAATTTGTTGTTATTTTGATAATTTTTTGTTGTTATTTACTAGAATGAATTAGATGAACATAATTTGAATTGTTATGAGAAAATGGAATGAATAATATTTATAAGCATTTATGTTAAATTAACAATATTAAATATAACATAAACTTATAATATTGAGTAATATAAGAATATATTATGTTAATTTTTTTTTTTGCACTCTAAGTGTTATTTTAATTTGGTGTTATTTTGATAATATTTTGTTGTTATTTACTAGAATGGATTAGATGAACATAATTTGAATTGTTATGAGAAAATGGAATGAATAATATTTATAAGCATTTATGTTAAATTAACAATATTAAATATAACATAAACTTATAATATTGAGTAATATAAGAATACAATATGTTAATTTTTTTTTTTTTTGCACTCTAATTGTTATTTTAATTTGTTGTTATTTTGATAATTTTTTGTTGTTATTTACTAGAATGGATTAGATGAACATAATTTGAATTGGTATGAGAAGATGGAATGAATAATATTTATAAGCATTTATGTTAAATTAACAATATTAAATATAACATAAACTTATAATATTGAGTAATATAAGAATATATTATGTTAATTTTTTTTTTTTTTTTGCACTCTAATTGTTATTTTAATTTGTTGTTATTTTGATAATTTTTTGTTGTTATTTACTAGAATGGATTAGATGAACATAATTTGAATTGTTATGAGAAGATGGAATGAATAATATTTATATGCATTTATGTTAAATTAACAATATTAAATATAACATAAACTTATAATATTGAGTAATATTATAATATATTATGTTTTTTTTTTTTTTTGCACTCTAATAAGAATATAAGCTAAACTTATAATATTTAGGAATATAAAAATATAAGAATATAACCTTTCATAAGAATATAACCTAAACTTATAATATAAGAATATCCTTTCATATAAGAATATAACCTTTCATATAAGAATATAACCTAAACTTATAATATTTAGGAATATAAGAATATATTAATTAATTTTTTTTGCACTCTAATTGTTATTTGAATTTGTTGTTATTTTGATAAGTTTGATAACTTTTGGTTGTTATTTATTAGAATGGATTAGATGAGCATAATTTTGACAACTTTTTGTTGTTATTTTAATTTGCTTTTACTATAATAGGTGTTGAAAATTAAAAGATTGCAATCGTGATAGAGTTCGAGGGGTGAAAGATAGAAATTGAAAATTTTGATAGTTATGCCTACATGATAGGGATTGAAAGATTGTAGGCATCTTAGTGTCAACATAATATTTTACCTTCGTAAAGTGGTAAAATATGGACAAGAGTTGGTTGACAATACCCCGAAATTTTGAAGCGTATACAACTGGAATTAATTTGTTTTTGGATCAAGCAGTTGCAAATGGTGTTGGTCCTGATAAGTTTAGATGTCCTTGCAAAAGATGTTGTAATCGATATTCTTTTGTTAGGAACACCATTGTTGAACATCTCATATTGTATGATATGGATAAAGATTATAAAAACGCTTGTTGGCGACATCATGGCGAGCAAAACATTGGAGAGCAAAATGTGGGAATTGGAGAAGAAGAAACAGGAGATGAGGTGATTGGCATGCATGATTTTCTTAATGATGTATTTGTCCAACCATTAACAGAAGAAGGTGTTGGGCCATCTACTGAACCCCCTATTGGGGAAGGGCGTCCAGAAGAGGTGCAGACTTTTTTTAAGTTGCTTGAAGAGGCAGATCAAGATTTGTGGCCAGGTTGTAAGGAGTTTAAGAAATTGGAAGCAGTTGTAAGATTGTATCAGATCAAGTGTTTAGCGGGAATGCCTGACGAGATCTTCACCACTTTACTGGAGTTAATTAAAAGAATGTTGCCTGAAGGGGATTGTTTGCCTGAATCCTGTTATAAAGCAAAAAAACTTATAAATGACTTGGGGCTGTCGTATGTGAAAATTGATGCATGTCCCAATGATTGCATGATCTATTGGAAAGATACTTCAGATTTGACCGTGTGCTCAGTTTGTGGTAAATCAAGATATAAAATTACCAATGCAGAGGATAGCTCGAGGAAAAAGGTCGCAGCTAAGGTTATGTGGTATTTTCCTTTAAAACCACGATTGCAACGCTTTTTTATGTCGAAGCATATGGCTGAACATATGAGATGGCATGCAACTGAATGTCCTAAGGATGAGTTTATGAGACATCCTTCAGATTCTCCCGCATGGAAGCATTTGGATAATTTATATCCGGATTTTGCGTCAGAAATTCGAAATGTCCGATTAGGGTTAGCCAGTGATGGATTTAATCCTTTTGGGAAAATGAGGAATGATCATAGCACATGGCCTGTGGTGCTTTCTGTTTATAATTTGCCACCTTGGATGTGCATGAAGCAACCAAATTTGTTATTGTCTTTGTTAATACCAGGACCGCGCAGTCCTGGTAAAGAGATTGATGTATACATGCGTCCATTGATTGACGAGCTGAATGAGTTGTGGGAGGTGGGCATTCCCACTTATGATGCGTTTTCCAACCAAAGTTTTACGATGAAGGCTGCCGTGTTATGGACCATAAGTGATTTTCCGGCTTATGGAATGTTGTCAGGATGGAGTACACATGGTTATAAAGCTTGTCCACATTGCATGCATGATAAAGAATCTATTTACTTGCCAGCGAGTCGCAAGATTTGTTATATGGGGCATCGACGATTTCTTGAAGATAATCATAGGTTTCGAAGGCAAACCATCACTTTTAATGGTCGTCGAGAGCATCGTACTGCACCAAGGCAGTGGACTGGTTTACAATGTCTCGAAGAACTTTCTACATTGAGATTTACTTTTGGAAAACCAAACAAGGATGCTTCAGTTGGGCAACGCAGAAGAAGAGCTTCGAGCAGTACAAGTAGTAACAGTCAGTGGAAGAAGAAATCGATTTTTTATGAACTACCTTATTGGAGGCATCTCTTGATTAGACACAATCTTGATGTTATGCATATCGAGAAGAATATATGTGACAGTGTGGTGGGAACATTGCTAGATATAGAAAAGTCTAAAGATGGATTGGCGGCACGTGCAGATCTTGAATTCTTGAACATAAGACATAGTCAACACCCACGTAGAGAAGGAAATAGAACATTTCGACCTCCAGCATTGTTCACATTGAAAAGAGAAGAAAAAACTGCGTTTTGTAAAGTATTGTCTACTATTCGGGTCCCAGATGGATATTCATCAAATCTGTCACGATGTGTGCACGTGAATGAACGAAAAATACATGGGTTGAAAAGTCATGATTGCCATGTTTTAATGCAGCAGTTACTCCCGCTTGCAATACGCCCGGTTTTGCCTAAAGCTGTTACTATGGTTTTATTAGAGTTGAGTGCAATTTTCAGACAGTTATGTAGTAAGAAGGAGTCTGAGGAAGGATTTAAGCAACTGAATTCAAGAATTGCCTTGACATTATGTCAACTTGAGAAAATATTCCCTCCTGCATTTTTTGATATAATGGTGCACCTCCCAGTTCACTTGGCAGATGAAGCAGCGCTTGCAGGCCCTGTTCAATATAGATGGATGTATCCAATTGAACGGTAATGAATAAATTTTTATAATTTTTTTACAATTGTAGTCATAACTTTAATTAATAATTATAATAATTTGTATTTCGTTTTATAATTGTAGGTATTTGCAAACACTGAAGCGCTATGTTCGTAATAAGGGTCGTCCTGAAGGTTCTATTGCTGAAGCATATTTGGTGGATGAGTGCTTGTCATTTTGTTCCATGTATCTTAGAGACGTTGAGTCTCGTCGTACCCGTAGAGGCCGAAATGAAGATGGGATTGGACGTGGAGTATCTGGTGGGTTATCAATTTTTGACTCGAAAGGATGTTATATGGGTTCAGGAGAAAATGTGGAGCTCAATCTAAATGTTCTTGATCAGTGCCATAGATACATTCTAAATAATTGTGATGAAGTTAGCCCATTTAGAAGGTAAGAATGTTTAATCATACGTCGAAATGTTTTATTGGTTTTCTTAACTTTGAAAAAATAATTATCTAAATTGGACATAATTGTGTAGGCAACATGAAGAATTCTTGAAAACTAAATATCGTCGAGAAAGGTTAACTATGCGACAAATTAAAGAGCTAAGCAAGAAAGAATTTCCAGAATGGTTCAAGCAACATGTGAGTTGATATAATAATCATATTATTTATTTATTGTTTTGCATTTTAATTATAACATGTTTATAGTTATTTTGTCAATATTTATCTTCATACTTATTACAGATGAATTCAAGATATGATGCTAATGACACATTGATATCTCAAGACTTGCATTGGCTAGCTAATTATCCTAGTAGGGTTGTGAGCAGATACAAAAGTCACATTGTTCATGGATTTAGATTTCGTATAAAATCTGTGGATGATAAGCATAAGAATCAAAACTGTGGTGTCTTTGTACCTGCAAATGTTCCTGGAGCAATTGGGCAAGTAAATTGTTATGGCAGAGTTGTAGATATGTTTGAGGTCAAATATTGTGGTCCTACTGAAGCAGGAGATAGGGGTCGAGCTGTGATGTTATTTAAGTGCGAATGGGTTAATAGTGAAAGTCCACGAGGAATGAAGACTGATCAATATGGATTTACTATGGTGAATTTCAATCAATTGGGATTTAAAGAGGATCCTTTCATACTAGCATCACAAGCATTACAGGCATTTTACGTGGAGGACACGATTGAAAAAGATTGGCACGTAGTTGTTCGAACTCAGCCAAGAGATTTATTTGACGTATTAGAGGATAGTGATGCTATTGATGATTATGACACGCCGAACTTGGATGATCGAATTCTTGATAATGAAAATTTTCATACAAGGGTTGGCGTGGAAGAGACTCCCTTTCTTGAATCATTAGCGTTGCCTACCGGGTTCGTTAATCATGCCAATACCGACGAAGAGCTAACAGATGATGACAGGGAATAAATATATTAATTATTTTTGTTATTATTTTTGTATTAATTAGACTTTGTTTTATTTTGTATGCTATGATATCGTATTATAAAATTATATTTCTGTTTTTTTTTTTTTTTTTTCCTTGACATTCTGTCGCTTTTAACCGACGGCATTTTTCAGGTATGTCAGAATTGGCGTCGGTTTTAACCGACGCAACCCCAGCCTATTTCGACGCAATGTTAAGCATAGGACATGTGTGTCAGACTTGGCGTCGGTTTTAACCGACGCAACCGTAGCCTATTTCGACGCAATGTTAAGCTTAGGACATGTGTGTCAGACTTGGCGTCGGTTTTAACCGACGCAACCCTAGCCTATTTCGACGCAATATGAGACTATTTCGACGCAAGATACTTGTTGTCAATCATATGCATTACCCCTAATAATAATAATTATATATAATTATTTTTTATTATTTGCAGTTTTATAGCCTAAATATTAATAATTATATATTAATTTAATTGTTTTACACCCCTAAAAACAATAATAATTATATATTAATTTAACTGTTTTACACCCCTATACGAATGCAATGAATGTTTTACACCCTAATAATAATAATTATATATAATTATTTTTTATTATTTGTAGTTTTATACTAATTATAATAATTATAAACTCTAAGTGTTAGCCAATCTATCGTTTTACGAATTCTCCAAAACTAATTTCAACGATCCAAACCGTCAAAATTGTTTGTATATGCTTGGAGATCACATCAGCAAAAAATCACAAAAAAAAAACATTCAGAGATCAAGTAACGGGACAAAGCTTTTCGACGGTTATAAACGAAAAATCACGATTTAACGGTTATTTTAACTCCGATTTAGATGATTTTTTATAACTACACTCCTTGACCCTATATGAATACAATGAATGAATTCGATCTTCAATTTAAAATATTTACACAAGTGGATACCACAAAATCTTACGTTATACTTAATGAAAGTATAAATAAACTCTAAGTGTTAGTCAATCTATCGTTTTACGAATTCTCCAAAACTAATTTCAACGATCCAAACCGTCAAAATTGTTTGTATATGCTTGGAGATCACATCAGCAAAAAATCACAAAAAAAAAACATTCAGAGATCAAGTAACGGGACAAAGCTTTTCGACGGTTATAAACGAAAAATCACGATTTAACGGTTATTTTAACTCCGATTTAGATGATTTTTTATAACTACACTCCTTGACCCTATATGAATACAATGAATGAATTCGATCTTCAATTTAAAATATTTACACAAGTGGATACCACAAAATCTTACGTTATACTTAATGAAAGTATAAATAAACTCTAAGTGTTAGCCAATCTATCGTTTTACGAATTCTCCAAAACTAATTTCAACGATCCAAACCGTCAAAATTGTTTGTATATGCTTGGAGATCACATCAGCAAAAAATCACAAAAAAAAAACATTCAGAGATCAAGTAACGGGACAAAGCTTTTCGACGGTTATAAACGAAAAATCACGATTTAACGGTTATTTTAACTCCGATTTAGATGATTTTTTATAACTACACTCCTTGACCCTATATGAATACAATGAATGAATTCGATCTTCAATTTAAAATATTTACACAAGTGGATACCACAAAATCTTACGTTATACTTAATGAAAGTATAAATAAACTCTAAGTGTTAGCCAATCTATCGTTTTACGAATTCTCCAAAACTAATTTCAACGATCCAAACCGTCAAAATTGTTTGTATATGCTTGGAGATCACATCAGCAAAAAATCACAAAAAAAAAACATTCAGAGATCAAGTAACGGGACAAAGCTTTTCGACGGTTATAAACGAAAAATCACGATTTAACGGTTATTTTAACTCCGATTTAGATGATTTTTTATAACTACACTCCTTGACCCTATATGAATACAATGAATGAATTCGATCTTCAATTTAAAATATTTACACAAGTGGATACCACAAAATCTTACGTTATACTTAATGAAAGTATAAATAAACTCTAAGTGTTAGCCAATCTATCGTTTTACGAATTCTCCAAAACTAATTTCAACGATCCAAACCGTCAAAATTGTTTGTATATGCTTGGAGATCACATCAGCAAAAAATCACAAAAAAAAAACATTCAGAGATCAAGTAACGGGACAAAGCTTTTCGACGGTTATAAACGAAAAATCACGATTTAACGGTTATTTTAACTCCGATTTAGATGATTTTTTATAACTACACTCCTTGACCCTATATGAATACAATGAATGAATTCGATCTTCAATTTAAAATATTTACACAAGTGGATACCACAAAATCTTACGTTATACTTAATGAAAGTATAAATAAACTCTAAGTGTTAGTCCAATCTATCGTTTTACGAATTCTCCAAAACTAATTTCAACGATCCAAACCGTCAAAATTGTTTGTATATGCTTGGAGATCACATCAGCAAAAAATCACAAAAAAAAAACATTCAGAGATCAAGTAACGGGACAAAGCTTTTCGACGGTTATAAACGAAAAATCACGATTTAACGGTTATTTTAACTCCGATTTAGATGATTTTTTATAACTACACTCCTTGACCCTATATGAATACAATGAATGAATTCGATCTTCAATTTAAAATACAAAGAGTGACTCAACTCTTCTAAGCTTTCTAGGGTAATTAACTTTCCGATGTGGAGCAACTCTACATATCACCACACTTCCAACTTTGATTTGGGTTCAATGGTGTTTAATCCATTCTAGTAAATAACAACCAAATGTTATCAAATGTATCAAAATAACAACAAATTAAAATAACAATTAGAGTGCAAAAAAAATTAATTTAACATAATATATTCTTATATTCCTAAATATTATAAGTTTAGGTTATATTTAATATTGTTAATTTAACATAAATGCTTATAAATATTATTCATTCCATTTTCTCATAACAACTCAAATTATGTTCATCTAATCCATTCTAGTAAATAACAACAAAAAATTATCAAAATAACAACAAATTAAAATAACAATTACAGTGCAAAAAAAATTGATTCAACTTAATAAATTTATTTATTAAAATATTATATGACATAACATAACTAATTATTTTTAAATTTTGGGTAAATTGATTGGCATGTCTAATTATTTATTAAAATATTATATGACATAACATAACTTAATAAATTTATTTATTTGTTCCTTTTTTTTTGGGAAGTACAAATTTTATTTTTATGTTCGGCGGGAGGTTTCCCGGTATTTTTTGCTGGGAATGGGTTGAATTGATTGGCATGTCAACTTGGACTGGTTTTAATCGAGGCAAAATTATACATTTTCGAGACTAATTGAATGTCAGACGATTCTTATTTCGAAGCAAATGTTTTCATATTTCGACACAAACTTTCTCTTATTAAAAACCTGTCAGGCTAACGTCGGTTAAAACCGACGCAATGTGACCTTATTTCGACGCAAAGGCATTTATGACTGAAACATGTCAGACTTTCAGTCAAAACTATGTCAGGCTATAATATAGGTCGAATCAGATATAGTGGCGGTTTTAAGCGACACAAACCTGTGCTTATTTCGACGCTATGCAAGCTAACGTCGGTTTTAAACGACGCAGTAGGCCCTTATTTCGACGCTATGCAAGATAACGTCGGTTTAAAGCGACGCAATAGGCTTGCACTGACAAGTATAGCAGGCTTTATGTCAGGTTACGTGTGGGGAGGTTTAGTCAGTGATTGTGTCGGTTTTAAGCGACGTAATGTATTCATATTTCGACGCTAAGTTGTTATCCATATTTAATTTCTGTCTCCCTTCACTTCCGTGTTCCACTTCTGTCTCTCCTCTCTATCACCCATTTCTGGCTTCCTCTTTCCCCCATTTCTAGCTTCCTCTTTCCCCCACTTCCTTCTCCTTCCATTAAGTTTTGCAATGGATAATTCCCGTGAAGATCAACGTTCTGAGGAACTTCATTTGGAAGAGGACGAGGGTGATGCTGGTTCTTTTTTGAATTGTTATGAGTGTCAGTTTTTTTTTTTTTTTTTTGTGTGTTTGAACGATTATTATTGCTAATCTGAAAATATACATTTGTTTCCTACTTTTTAATTGTGTGTTTGTATTAACAAGGTACATCTCAACGGAGGCGTGGACCCTCAATTCCTAAATGGACGAAACAGCTTTGTTCGTTTGATTCGTCCGGAAAATGCATTAGTGATAACGCTAGTGCTTTTTCAAAACATGTAGCAGCGGAGGTTAGGGACTATAGAAATCTTCCGTTGGAGAAAGATTGGCGTAAGGTTACGGAAGAAGATAAGGAAGCTTTTTGGAATAGAATAAAGGTATATATAGATCTTTTTATTTTTAGTTGAAAATAGAAGAATAGGTCAATGATTGTAATAATATTTGACTAGCGTGATTTTTTTTGTTTTTTGTTTTTATGTATGTAGGGAAGTATCTTTTTTGAAGATGCAGATATAGTAAAAATGCCTTTGATCCGTCATATGACGCTTAAGATTGCGGAGCATGCGCACAAAGAGTTTAGAAATAAGTTAAAAAAAAAGTATTATACTAAAAGAGCAGAACAGGTTCGCAGCGAGCCTCCTCCTGATGTGATTCCTACCCAGTGGAATGATTTGTTGGCATATTGGAATAGAGACAAAACAAAGGTAAACCCTACACGATTTATTTCGTTATAACTTTAAAGTTGCCTAATATAATCTTTTCTTTTTTCGTTCGTTTTTTTTCAGGAGGTTGCTGAAAAAAATAAGATTAATCGGGGATTGAAATCAATGAACCATACTACTGGTACAAAATCCTTTGCAAGAGTGCGGGAAGAATATGTATGGATTGTACATTTTCAAGAGATGATTAATTTTAAATAATTATATTTATTTTTAGTATGAGGTTTGCTTAATTTGTTTGTATGAAATTTTATTTTTGATAAAGCGGAAGAAGCATGGGAAAGAAGCAGATCCTGTAACCTTTTTTCGTGAATGTCATACACGAAAAGATAAATCATGGATTGATGAAACATCGGAGCGTACAGGGGTAATTGATTTTTTCGTGTTAGTATTTGATTTTATTAGTATTTATTATCTATAGCTTATTTTTCTGTTTTACGATTGAATTTTTGTTTTTAAAAATTGTAATGCAAGTCAACAATGGAGAGCAACCTGCAAACATTGATTGAGTCGGGCCAAGACGATAATGAAGATCTTAGGACCCAAGTTTATGTTGATACTATGGGTCCTGAGAGGTATAATAGAGTCAGAGGATACGGTCATGGTGTGACTCCTGATATGGTGTCTTATGCATCTTCTGCATCTTCTACATCAATTTCCTCTAGGAGATCATCTAAGAGTTCAATGGCGTTGCTAATGACTCAAAATAATGAGTTGAAAATGAGAGACGAAAATAATAATAAACGGATTTCGGACCTGGAGAACAAGCAAAATCAGTTGTTTGCATGGTTTTTTCAAAGATTTCAGCCACAACCACCATATAGCCCGGGAACCCAACAATCAGGCCACAGTCAACCTCCTCAACAGTCGGGCCAAAGTCAGCCTTCCCCTGCATATCCGTATGCTGGCAATAATCAGCAACCTCTATATCCTGTGTATCCGATGCCTGCGCAGCCCATGCCATACATGCAGCAGCCGCCCATGCCATACATGCAGCAGCCGCCCATGCCATACATGCAGCAGCCGCCTTATCAAGTGCCAGTATATCGACCTGAGATGGCTGCTCCTAGTGGATCTTTTCCTGAAGTTCCAGTTGGGGGGTTTTCTGGAATGCTTGCAGGTGTTGGATTTGATGTGGACTTGTCGAGGATTTTTGGATCAGATGGAGGATCTCAAGAAGGAGGATCTCAAGGAGGAGTATCTCAAGGAGAAGATTCTCAAGCAGAAGGATCTGGACGACGTTCAGGCGCAGATTCGGTTGGGTAGTTTAATTGGTTCTTTTTCTTGTCGGTTAAATACGACAGTATAATTGGTCTATCTTTTTGTTTTTTTATGTTATGTTTGTAATGTCGGATTTAATGTTTGTTACGACGGACGACTTTTTGGATTTTATGTGAAATGTGAAATGTACAGTTTGGCACTATTGTTTTTGTTATTTATTTTCATTAATGTTTATTTTGATCTTAAAATTTATAATTTTTTTTGGTTGGAATTAATTGAAATTGCATGCAGTTGTTCATCCACTTTTATTATTATTAACAAATATAGTGTCGGTTAAGACCGTTACTAGTTTTTATATTTTATTTATTTAATTGTTATCTAACGTCGGTTTAAGGAATATTTTATTTATTTCATTTTAATATAATGTCGCTTTAAAGCGACAGTATACTGCATACTTTATTATTAAATAGCTGATGCACGTGTAAGTATGCGTCGCTAGTTTTTATATTTTATTTATTTCATTGTTATCTAACGTCGGTTTAAGGAATATTTTATTTATTTCATTTTAATATAATGTCGCTTTAAAGCGACAGTATACTGCATACTTTATTATTAAATAGCTGATCCACGTGTAAGTATGCGTCGCTTTAAACCGACGTTAGGGTTAGTGTCGCTTTAAAGCGACACTGTGTAGTGGCGGATTAAGCTCAAAAAGCGACGCTGAAGCCCTTTTGCGACCCTAGCAATAGTGTCGCTATTGAAAAGCGACATTACATTATGTAATGTCGGATTTGTGCCAAATTTTCGACAGAAAGTTGATTTCTCGTCGGTTTGTCCTCCGCCGGTGATAGCATATATTGTAGTAGTGTTTCAAAACAGTTTCAAACGAGTTCAGCTTTTCCGCTTCTCAAAAGCTTGTTCAATATTTGAATAAAAATCAACGTTAATATTGTCTTCGAACCTTAGCTTTTACTACATTCATCTTCAAACTGATCTAGATATTGCTGGCATTGCCAAAGAACTGGTCTTCCAAATTCAAATTATTTTTTAATTATTGAGGAATAATATGGTTGTAGCTAGCATGACATTGAAAAGATAATCAAGTTGAATTAATTGACTGTCTAATTAATTAGACAATCTCATACGTTTACCCTTCACATTCTTCGATTAAACTAACCTTCTTAACAGTAATACATATAACTAAAAGATTATTATGACTGTGATAAGCTCATATTTATATATATTTTTTACGACATTAAATTCACTTATTTTTTCTTAGTTAGTTGTTTATATTTTTGAGCTATTTACTTTGTTTTTGTATTTTGTATGATTTGTCAAGCAAAGAAAAGAAAAATAGTGGGATTTTAAGTAACAAATTCGTCAAAATTGCCTGTGCAGATCAGCTGACTTTGGAAGCAAGTTGCAAACAACTCAGAATGAATTAGAGAATAAGCCTTATATGCTTGGAAAGCTACATATGTCTATTTTTTTGGAGAATTTCGCGGATTGTTAATATCATTTTTCTAGAAGAAGTTATGGCCGTTTTAACACTGAAAGGTTCACAAGAGAATGAGCACCTTGTAACTGCAATGAAAGCAATAAACCTAATAAATCTAGCAGCTAGCAGCCAAAAGTGATGCAACCAAGAACAAGCCAGTTGACACCTATTCAAATATCAGAGAAAATGGAATAAAAGATGAGGATTAAGAAGGAGTAATTGGCATAAAGGCTACCTAAAGAGTTACAATTGTTTTACCATTTCCTCTCACTTATTGTCATCACGAAATGGCTATTAATGGGTGAGTTAAGGAGAAGAAAATGGGACAGCAAGTTAAAAAGGGAAAAAGGCTGCAGGTTGCAGCGGCAAGGTCGAAGGATAGAAAAAAATAGAACAAAAATAAAAAGGGAAACAAAAGGGGAGCTGACAGAAGAAGCAATAGAGAAGGAAGGATGAAATCTTGACATTCTCTTCTTTCAGTTTTATCTTCTCGAACTCATGTCTTTCTTTTGGTTTTATTTAAGGATTATGCGTAACTAAATTTTTAGTAGTTAGGGGCTGTTTTGAAGCCCCGAATATGATTGTAAGTTTTTATGACATTTCGTTTGAATTACTTTTATGAATGAATGAAAATTGGTTCACTACTTATGTCAGTGATGAATTCCTTATGTGTTTTCTACGGATGCATACTTAGTAAGCATATCTAGGATTCTAACACTATGAATATGTGTGTGTCTGCCCTTATCGAATAAGGACCTACATATGTTCTAAAGTAGTACTTGTTAATTGCAATTAACATGTGAACCAATTTCTAGGATAAGTAGTACGCTAGCACTTACGATGCCTTGTCATGACTCAAACTCTTTTCGTTCATAATGATTTCTACTTGTTAAATCTATGAACACGCCATTCTAGATTGTATGTTAGGGACTAAGTTAAGTTGAAACTGTCATTCTCTTAATATACTACATAAGAAAGAGTAATAGGTTGAGTTCTAACATTGAGCCAACTTGAGCATCTTCATCCGGAAATAAAAGGAATTTGAATGAAACATAACATGTTTGCATGATTATTTGGTGGTGGATAGCAATTTCCCAAACTCGTTTTCTTAACTTGTGAACTACAATCTATTTTTATTATTTAAAATATGTTTCTGTCCTTTTTTTGTTGGATTTAATTTAAATAGAAAATCAACTCCAAAAATCCCAAAAATTTGTGTGAGTGTAGCGCTGTATGTCTAGTGTCTTCATATAAAATTTCATATACTTTAGATAAGTGTAAGTCGGTCTAATAATTATTTTTCGATGGCTGGTCAGTAGAGACAGCAATCCAATTTTTGTAACATTTTAAGTAGTTGGATAAAATAATATTCTGCAGAAAATACTCATATTTTCATATGCTACAATTGATAAATCTTAGTATTAATATGAAAAATTAATAAAATATTTATGTGCTACTTTATGGTATGCTTTTAATCCTATCAGACAGTTATATGTTATGTTTGCAAATAGACAATAGAGGAATGATAACAAAGTCAAAGCACGTCTTTGTGTTGACCGCTGAATAATTAAAAGATGGATGATCCATGGTCGGCTGAAAGTGAAAGTCAAAATATGTAAGCTTCTGGATGTACTGTGAGTTGTCAGTTTACCACAGATGGCTGATGCTATCCGTCAGCCAAAAGGAAAAGTTCATGTTTTTTTTTGGGATCGATCCTCATCGGATCTCACGCTCCGAAGTTAAGGGTCGAGAAATTCCGACAGTTAAATCTAAATTCTACAATTTTAGCCTCTTTCTTTGGCTTACCTTACACAAATTGAAAAGTTTAGATCATTCAATTTGAAATTTTTAGTATGTAAACTTCAGTGTGAGATTCAAAAAGGATCAATCGATTTTTTCGGATGCCTTATTTCTTTGGATAAAAATAATAATATATTATATAAAATATTCATGTTACTATTGAAGAAAGATCTCAAGTTCAATTACTAAAATAGAATTTTAAGTAGATTTATTTATTAAAATTATGTTATGTGTACATGACATATCTACTAATTTTTGTGTGCAGTAGTGTGACTATGAGATTCAAATTTTTTTCTTCAAATGCAGTACTTGTTTTGGAGGAACAATTTAGCGACTTTAGGTGTTGGGTGTAAAAAGATAATTGTTGTATTTTCTTCATGAATTATACTTTTGTGTCTTTAATTTTGTACCCAAAGGCCAATTTTTTATTTTTTTAGTGTCAATGCATAACCTTCCTTAATTGTGTGCTCAACTACGACGATTTTCTTAAACTTATTAGGAAGTCAAGTTGCTACGCATGTGACAAGACATTTACTGCACGAAAATAAAAGTGAGATAAGAAAACCATGGTGAGGTTTTTGTTTGTAAATTTTGTGATTACAAACGATGTTACGACTCTTAAGTTACACTAAAAAAAGGCAAAAGATTTAAACTCGAGAAATAATGAGTTAAAAAAGAAGGTCTTATTTGTTGTAAATTTGCGGCTCATCATTCCAAGTTTCTGAAAATGGTTGACAAAATCACATTACTTAGGAATGCAAAAAAACATAGGAGTAGGATTATCACTTTTTCAAATTTTCCTCCTCTCCACTCCCCTCCTATTTGCATGGTTATGATTAAACAATATCAGCATTGTCTGCTGACTTGTTTACACACAGAGAAAGAAAGAAAAAATTGAGAGATGAGAAGAGGAAATAAGAGAGAATCCTACTTCCGAAAAAATATTGTCACATTATTTGAGATCACCGACGATAACTTATTAAACAAAAATAAATGAGACAAAAAATCACAAAAAGTACACCCTTAGCTACCTAGCTAGCTAGTGTTTATTTCTCATAGCTGAAAAATCAGAATACAAGCATAGAAACAAGTCAATGATCAGTCATGGCATTTGGCAATGGAGATGTTCGACGGCCGGGATCCATCACAAGATGGTGCATCTGTTTGCAATGGTCTCCTCGCACCGGACCGCAGCGTGTTCCACCGTCACACGGTCACCGTACGTCGGAGGCAAATAAGTATCATGTGGCACATGATGATTATTATTATTGCCTGCTGCCTCAGGAGTATGAACGTATTGAAACTCAAAGTTGTGGTGGCTACCACCATCACAACTTGTGGTGCTGCTTCCTTCGCCGCCTTCATGATCTCCACAAACTTTGTCCGCCGGCCAGCTATTGCCACCACTTCCTCCACCATGGGGCTCATTTTGCTCATCATCCTTAACATTAATGACATTAACCCTAGCATGGGGCTGAGGTTGTGGCTGAGGCTGAGGTTTCTTGTCGAAGAATGTGAGTTTGATTCTTCGATTGCTTCCAGATTGAGTCAGCTCCAACTTCTTTAGCCTGTGGATGTTGGGAAGTTTTTGGAGCTCTCCCATTTGAGCCCATCTTATTACCTCAAGCCCTTGATCTTGTGCTCCGTTCAACTCGTGGCTGGCGGTTGCCTTCGGTTGCAAGAAACTGTTGTGGGATGGCGGCAGAGTATTATCCTCACACATGAGCCCTGCAGAAAACCTAGCATGCTCTACTGCCTCATTGATCGTGTTCTTGTCTACTGTGGATTCAACTGTTAATCTTCCGGATTCTGGGTCGAACTTAACAGAATAGGTTCCTAGGGAAAAATATGATAAAAAAAAGATAAATAAAATACGAAATTCGTATACGTACCCGGAATCAGTTCATCAAAAACACAAGATTATAATAAAAAGTTACCCTGAAATTTTGAGAGGAATCTCTTGAGCTTCTCTTGACATTTGCGACATTCTATGTTAATTTTTGTAATCTCTGTCTGCAATGATATAGTTCAAAGGGTACTTATGTACACAAAGTTCTATACAGCATGCAACAACATATATATGTGTGTGTGTGTGTGTGTGTGTGTGTGTTGGAATGGTGGGAATGGGAAAGTACCTGAGGAATGTGATTGTGGGCCATTGATGGTGGCTTTGGAATATAGCCCTGGAATCAAGAGTGAGATTTCTGCTCAGATGGTGGAGGTTTCTTGCAGTTTATGAGGAATATGAGAAGGGTATTTATAATTGCAGAGATATATAGTATCCTTTGTCTTAAATTGGATGTAATTATGTCTTGATTTAGTGTATTAATGATTTATTATATGCAGAAAATATTTTGTGAAAGTGCAGATTAAAAGAGAAATATCAAGAATTCATGTGCATAAGATATCTGCGTGAAGAGGGAGGGATTTGAATCCCCCGAATTGAACCAAAATGATTTCCAAATTGGTAACTTAAAAATCCAAGTAAATGGCTATGTACCGGTTAAATTATTTTCAAAATATTTACAAATTTATAAATGATGGTAAACTAAGTCACAATTTTGTACCGAACTTATTACAAATAGATCAACGGCTCATGTGTGAAGATTATTTGCTCTAAAATACAATAATCTAAGTTTATTTCATCCAGACTACAAATTTCAGTATGATGCGACACGGTTTATATGAACATGGTGTGCCATTCAATGTTTTATAATCAGGTCGACGAAATAATCGATACGTCTTAATAAATAAAAAACAAATTCACGTGTTATAATTTAAGTGAAATAGTAATACTATGTGAGTTTCATGCACACTAAATAATTGAACGAAAACTACACCTTGAACTAGCAAGTTTCACATACAGCTTGCTTGAATGTGTTCATTTTGGAAACAAGTCCAAAGTTGCACCATTTCATGCCAAATGGAGAACTAACAAATCAGAATACAGATTTTTTGAAGAAAACTGCAGGATAACCAAACACAATAGATTGAATTTGAAACTAAAACAGTTCGTTCCATCACACAGTAACCACTTTCCCTCGACGCAGCACCCTTTGATTCTGCTTGTCTAGATGAATGCATAATCTTCCTCCTCGATGTGATGCCTAAACATACGCGATAATGTATCAATATACGGGGTTGTAAGTTTATGATAAGAATGAAGAGAGTGAAAGAGAGCTATAGAGTGCGAGAGAGAGTACCACGTATCCAACAATATCAGATTTTCCAAGTTTTCTGCACCAGTATGATGATACGACACAATGTGCGCTCCCACAAACAGGATCCTGACATAAACAAAGAAGCAGCATCCAGATTTTTATCAATTGTAGTTTTCTCACAATACCGGAAAATGATAAGTGAGCAAGCAGCATACCTCATTCACACTGTTTAGGGGCAAAGAATTTAATGTAAAATCATACCCGGACTCTGGGGAAGCAATCGCTGTTGCAAGGACTCCCCCAGACCCCGGACATTTTTTTTTATTGCATCAGGCTGTGGCTGTAAATCTGCAACCACTTTTGCTGATTGAAGCACAGCCTTGCGGAAAATGAAACAAGAAGGAAACAGGACCATCAGAAAGGAAAAGTTATAAGCTTATATTGATTGAAAGGATAATATGGAACTGAAAATGCAGGTTCCTAGAAGGATTGCATGACTTACAAGTAGATCATCCGTGACAGTTGCCCTCCTTTCATTAATAGAAAAGCGCCATTCAAGGCGTGGAGATAAACCGAAACCTCATCAGAGTTGAATTCATTAGACGGGGCAGCAGGAAAGTGCAGTTCAATGAAATTGGAGGATTCTTGTGCTTCACCATTGGCTGTCTTAACATCTAGAACCTTTTTAGCTGTTAGGATTCCAGACAAAGTTGAAAACGCGATAATGTCGGAATATGTCAAACCAGACTTAAGGAGAGTGTATGAAGCAGCTAATGTTGCATGGCCGCAAAGCTCAACCTGCAAAAAGGAATCAAGTTTTCAAACTAGATGGCTCGATATCAAACTTAGAGAAACCTGAGTTACGTGAAAAGTTTGCTTTTCAAGTAAATCTGTACACTGCAAGAGTGAAGGACCAATTTTACTGAATTCGTGGCTGCCGAAGATTTGGATCTTAGACACTCGAATTGTTGCCTGGATTTTATATTTCAAACTTGTTATTATAAACAGTGATGAGTTTAAAACTTAAAACCAGAGAAACTATAACGATGTTTTATGAGCCGAAATTGGAAGGAAACACCGAACCTAGGAGCTGTGTCCGAGTCAATGAGCTGAGTCAAGTAACATGTCTCGGAGAGATAGAGATTGAACTCTGAGGCCGCTGGCTGCAACTACCGGTCGTCTCTGTCTTCCTCCAGCAAGCAAACTGCTGCTGGGTTCCCCTTGACAGCTAAGTCAGTCAGTGAAAGCATCCACCCGCACTCATCCATTTCAGCATTAAATTCAAACACTATTTGCACGCATCATATACACACAGGAAGAATATGTGAGAGAGAGAGAGAGAGAGAGAGAGAGAGAGAGTTCAGCAGCTCAGCTGAGCAGAAAGTTGAACAGCAGTAGCACCTTTCAAGATGCCAAGATGAAGAACTCGGGATACAAATTTCGAAATGAAAAATTAAAGGCACACCTAACTAATTTGCTCAAATTTATTTAATTCAAATATAATGGTTCTTTCCCCGTCAAATTGAGACATTTATTTCAAATGTTTATACTTCAAAATAAAATTAACTCCAACTTCAAGCTAAAACAGTTCCTTCCATCACAATAACAGCTTTTCCTCGCAGCAGTACCCTTTGATTTTGCTCATCTAGATGAACGTTTATTGCTCCCCCTCGAGGTGATGCCTGAAAGTAAACATCAACGTATGAGAGGGAGGTTTTTATAATACCAGAGAGAGAGAGAGAGAGAGAGAGAGAGAGAGTGCCTGATAAGCAAAAACATCAGACTTTCCAAGTTTTTTGCACCAATATGATGCAAGGGCACAATGTGCGCTCCCACAAACGGGATCCTGACATAAACAGTTAGCAGTATTCAGACTTATGTATCAAATGGTTTAAATCCATGTTAGCAGGTTAAGTCAGATATATTCGAATACTTTAGCTTGGAATAATGAAACTGATAAAGATCGTGCGGAAAAAGAAAGACACAGGAAAAGGCCGATCAGGTTATTCAAATGTTTTAAATCCACTTTAGCAGAAAAAATAAAATAAAAGGAAAGGCTTATTGATGCAGATACATAATCTCCTCATCTAACATAGCAACAGCATTTGGCACCAGGTATCAGGCACTTGAGAGAAGCTTACTGAGAGAATAATGCAAGCTGCTTACCTCATCAATCCCATGTTTGGGACAGAAGAATCTACTGTAAAAATCATATACAGATTCTGGAGGAGCAATCCCCGTAACGATCACTCCCCTAGACCCTGGACATTGGCGAATTGCATCTAACTGCGGCTGTAAATCTGTGACAGCTTTTGCTGATGGAAGCACAACCTTGAAAAATGAAACCAGTATCACTTAAGAGTGCATGCTAGACTGCACAGGCAATCCAATAAAATAAAAATTTGTCCGTTGTTTTATACGCTTCTATCAATCGAAAGCATAATAGGGAATTGAAAATGTAGGTTTCTGGAAGGATTGTAGGACTTACAAGTAAATCATCTGTGACAGTTGTCCTCCTTATTTCAACCATAGAAGCACCATCTAAGGCCTTAGAGATTACCGAAACATCACCAGAGTTGAATTCATTAGAGGGGTCGGCAGGAAAATTCAGTTCAACAAAATAGGACTCTTGTGCTTCCCCATTGTGAGTATTCAAACCATTGGCTGTCTTAACATCTGGAACCTTTTTAGCTTTTAGGATTCCGGATAATGTGGCAAACTCAATAATGTCGGACGTTACCAAACCAGAGTTAAAGAGAGTGTATGCAGCTGCTAATGTTGCATGACCACAAAGCTCAACCTGCACAAAAGGCAATCAAATTTTCAAGATCAATTAAGAAAGCATATGCTACTTCATACACTGGTGACAAAATCAAGGCATTAGCAATACCACTTCAGTAGAGCCACATAATCACATCAAAATTTAGAGAAACCTGAGTGAGGGCTTGTTTGGAGATGCTTTTCTAGAAAGTACTTATGCTCATAAGCATTATTATACTAAGCACGTCCAACTTCTTTTAAAAATAAAACCTCTTCCAAGTGCTTTTTGTTCAACCCATAGGCAATTTCAACTTTTCCCATCAAACGTTGTCGGAAAGCGTCTTTAGGAACCAGTTTTAAATAAATTCATACGCCAAAAAGGAACCATTTTTACTTTCTAATAAATCAAACTTTGGGGTAAATTTAAAATTTCAACCTTGTTAGCGTGTGCATTTAAAAGTTAAACACTTGAAACCAAGGAAACTCTAAAGATCAATCACTTGAAACCTTTTTGCTCGAAGCGCAATTAGTAGAAGCACGTCCAAATTTTAATAAAATCCAAGTGATTTTACAACCCGGAAGTACTTTTCCAACTGCTTTAACTACCCAGTTACACTTTTAAATAAACCCGTATGCTAAAAGCCTAAAGGAAACAAATTTAAACTGAATTCCAGGCTGTTTTCTATACACTCAAATCTTTTGGTGGATTCCATATCGACCCAGATAAAAGTTGAACACTTGGAAACTAAGGAACGTGTAAAGATTGATATGATATGAATGAAAGCGTTGAATTGAAGGGAGGTGAGCTCATACCTCATTGGAAGGAGTGAACCATCTGAGACCGAACCGAGGAGCTGAGTCAGACTCAGTGAGCCGAGTCAAGTAACATGTCTCGGAGAGGTTGAACTCGGCGGCCACGGCTTGTAGCCACTGGTCGTCTCTTTCTTCCTCCAGCAAGCAAACCGCTGCTGGGTTCCCTTTGAAAGCCGAGTCTGCGAACGCGTCCACCTGCAACCAGCAAATTCAAACACTCAATTCATACACACAGAAGAGAGAGAGAGAGAGAGAGAGAGAGAGAGAGAGAGTACCACAGAGTATTTCACAGCTTTCTTCGCCATGGAATTGGAATGGAAAATCGAAATGATTGTTGAGCAAAGACCTGGAAAGTAGCACTCTTTCTCTCTCTCTCGATATATATATATTACTCTTCGCGGGTGTGTAAAGAGTTTTAAAACAAAAGCGCTTTTGGTAAAAGCAAATCACAAAGCACTTTTAAGTAGAAATGCTAAAGCAGTATCAAACACAAGATGAAGATTAAAAACTAGAGATGCAAGAGACAAGAGACAAGAGACACGGTGGCCGATCTCATCTTTTATTGATTTTTTATATTACAGAGTGATTTATAATAGAAACAATTCCAACGATAAGTATGAAATTCCATGATTCAATCACAAATTACTTTGAGGAGGAACTCATCATCATCCATCAAGGAGCCAAGTTAATTCCTTTTATGATTGTACTGGTTCATGTATCGTTTCAAATTCAAACTGTATGAACACTTTAGCTTTCGCCAATCAGTTTTGCTGTTGAAAATACAACACACGAAGCTAAAAATCGAGTTCTCGCAATCAACTTCATTCGTTGAGCGACGGAAATAGTACATTCTAACATAATCTGTACAGAGTACAAATCCTAGAGAGATCAATGAACTACTTGTAGGAGACGATCAGGGCAATGTGAGTGAGTAATTTACATGGTGTAATTCACAAGGTTACATACAACACATGATGCCCAACTTTATTAACACATTAACCAGATGGAAATGGAATCACCACATTCCTTGTTTGTTCATCTTCAAGAAATGGGACAGAGTGATCTTTGGAAGTTCGATCGGACGCCCTTTTTTCTTCGTTATCTTTGTCATCTTAGTTGACTCCCCATTCACCGATTCAGCAACCGTCACTGAGACCAAGTTGTAGAACTGTTTCAAACATCAGTTTACGCATATTAGATTACTTCCAACAGTGATTTTGATGACGTGCAGAACGGGTAATCTCGTTGTGCAATACTTTTAGTGGATGTCTCACAATGCACAGCTCCATGATCCGGCATGAATTAATAGTTGAAAATACATAAGAAAAGATAAATGAGAAAATGTACCTCGCAAACACCATGGAGCAACAATCGACGGAGAGGATCTTGAACCTGCAGGATGAGAACATCTCCATCTCCACCTTCAGTCTCCGTAACAAAGGCCCGTACACGCTCCTGAAAAGAGAAGGGAATTTATACTCAATGACAATAAAAGATTTTGTCAGGTTGCAATTTGATTTAGAGAAAGATGAATATGGAAAACGGAATGCCAAAGATCCTGAAGAGAAAAGTGTGATGACAAAAAGTGTCTAGACAAATAAAGGAACCAATATGAGATAAACATAAGGAATTGCAATTACCTCATAGAACTCAACAAGTTCTGCGAAAACGCTACGGCGAAGTGCCTCTCTTGTTCGACAATCAACCCTACGCCATGCATTCAAGACGGCCGTTTTATCAGCATCAACAGGACTCTTCTTCTTTGCACTTGGGCCCTTCATGGAATCAATCACATTAGCCTGTCAAAATGAAATGAAGGCTAGAGTCAGGGAGTGCGACTCCGAAACCTCTAAAATGATCCTATAACAACATATGCAGATATACATACTGGTTATAAATAAATAGAGGCACATTATTTGCTACGTAAATGGTATGACACAATTTAAAACGCTAATTTGAATAAAGTCATGCATTCATATGACTGCTAGGATAATTTTCTTAATTCAAATTCTACCAACACTTAATGGCATCTGAAATCATTGCATTGCAGGAAATTAAAGATTGAAACATGCTTTTGATGAAGAGAGTGGGTGAAGGACCTGCTTATCCATGTCTATATTCCTAAATGTATCCCACTCTCGCACATTAGTCATGCAAAATGCTGACAGCGGTACATCATCACCTGTACATTCAAACCAAAGCCAATTTCGGTATGAGATTTTTCAAAAGGGTAGTGCTATTCGCACACACCTCTCAATTTTTGGCCGTTAGATCGAATGAATTGAAGAAAAATCAATGGCCACAAAATTAACAAGGGTGTCTGGGAGGTGAAAATGAGTGTGTGAATAGCACTATCCCTTCAAAAAGCAGTAAGCCAGTAACCATAAATATCAAGCTAAAGTAAATGTAGGTGAGTTCAAGTAATCATAGAACTTCCAACAGTTTCTTCATATGATAAATACAATTTTACTTGTGGATAAGCAATGCATATAGAATAGAATTTACTACGCATCAAACAGCTATATTAAGAGAAGATTCTATATGAGTACCCCAAGGTGGTGGAGCAAACAAGCCTCTGATTTCTTCTGCATTTAGACGAGGAACAAGTTCCAACAAAATCCGATCATTTACCCATCTTCGAGACCGTCGGTTGCTAACCTGCCAGAAGAAAAGAATTGTCATAACACGAATTGAATTCAAAGAATCATTTATCATGCTTGCAGAAAATTAATCGCTCTTCAAGCTCATACTTTTTTACAAAGTATTAAAGCAAAATAAGATGTGTTGGCTAATCAATACACACTACATTTGTCTAGTTTCACAAAACAGTATTAAGTCCTTATGTAATTAAAAGTATTCAGTTGTCAATTAGTATTACGGTCTAATGGTATTCCTTTCACTTGTAAGTGAGAGGTCTTCGGTTCGATTCTCGCCAAAGGCGAATTTGAACCACATTATTCCTAGCCCATTGTGAGGCTAAGCCCACCCCCTCCCCCTGAGAGTAGATAATATTGTTTAACTCTGAATCCAAACCAATTTTTATCACACAATAACAATCACAATTCAATTTAAATCAATGCTCAATAAAAACAAATAACAATAGTACCGTTCCGGCCATGCTCTCAAGCAGCTCAATCTTCTTCTCAATCGACATTCCACGGGATTTCACACTCTCTCCTGTCCAAAAACACCACTTAAAATCCAGCATTCCAACATTAACAATCAATTTACAAAACTACTCAAAGACTAAACAGTAAACTTGAAAGATATTATCATTCCACCATCTGGGTAATCAAACTTACACAAAAACCTAGAAATTTAATCAGATCCCATCAAAACCCCAAATCCCCAAACGGTATTTCACTCCACCCAAATCACCAAAACGGCCAAAGTCTGAAACTTTACAGACTACGAGCTAGAAATCGTTTCCACAGAATAGGAGAGAGAGATAGAGGGGTACCATTTCGAGGTTCGAGGATAGGAGAGTTGAGGAAAAAGCCGTCTTCTCTGTTGAGAACGCCGGGAGTCGCCATGATTGATTTGATGCAAATCTGATCTCAATGCTTGCGGCTTTGAATCTTCTGCTTCTTCTGGGCTTCTGGGTTTTTTCTGCGGCGATAGATTTTGAGAAAAGAGATGAGAGAGATAAAGGGCGACGAAACGTTCCTTTCAAAGGCGCTGAGAAATAAGAGGGACGCAACCAAACACGGCCTTGGAAATACGGAAGAGAGGGAAGGAGAGACGACCCACACTAGAATATACTTTTACATTGTGGAGATGCCACACGGCACGTGGTAATCCAATTTTACTCGAAACTCTTGTTAAATTGTCACTGAGCACGTGACGCCTCAAGGGGTGTGCCGGGTCGTTAAAGTGGCGTGTTTTAAATTAATCATGTGATGTTATGTGAAAAATAAAATTATTTTGCATTGTTAATTGGTTTGGCTTATTTAGATTTGTTTTTAAAATGATAAAAAATGATTTTAGAGAAAATATTTTTGAGTTTCAAAAGCACTTGAAGTGTTTTCTAAGTTAAGTATTTTTCTAGAATTTACTTACATTTTTACTAAGAATTGGTTTCAAAAACGCTTTCAGTCATTTTAAAAGCACATTTAAACGAGTTCTTAACTATTAAAACGACTTCTAATGGTACACTTGATCTGTTCTAGTTCACGAAAATTTTGAGATCAAACTACTGTCACTTTGGCATGTCCAACCATATAACATGAACATATTACTACCGACGCGTTGGCGAAAGTTTGGATAGAAAATAATTGACAAGATAGCATCTATCTCAAGGGCAGAGAGACGGAGAGAAGGAGAGTTTGCCTGCGGCGGGATGGCTGGCGGCTAGGCGGGGTTGGGTGTGGGTGTGGGTGTGGGTGGCGAGCATCAACATGACTCTTGTTACTCCAGAGACATCTAAGAGATTCTCTACTCAACTGGAAAAGGAAGCTGCAGGGCACCAGATGGAACGTTCGATCCAAGCTTATGGGATCAAAGCAAATTGTCGAAGCAGAACAAGGACCGTTCAACTTTTATATCCTTGTTGAATTTTATGAGATTTCATTAAACTATGAATTGTGACTTGACGCACGAGATTCTCGATGTGAATGCTTGCAAACTGCAACGAGTTTGGCGAGCTTCGAGAACCTTGTTATTGCTGTGTACATTTGAAAACAAATCATTTCGGTTGCTGTACAAAGTACATGAATGCTAGAGAAGAATACCTTCTTTCTCTTATGTGTAAGAATATCCCAAGATCTAACAGCATGGTATTAGGATTACAAAAGAAAACAATACGCAGACTATGCTCACATATGCATGTGGCATGGCATTAATGGCATGCATGCATATGATCATGAAATACTTACTTGTCGCCATGAGTGCTTCTAGTGCAAAGTTGAAGTAGTCTTCTACTTCCAATACCTCTGTATGAATTCTACCAGCGAAATAGGTTTGTAGTTTTGTGAGATTCCGACGGTATGGAAGCAGGGATTGCTTCTTAGTTATATAGCTAGGGTTTCAACCAATTCCACCCTATTAACGGAAAGGATATCCACCCTAATCTTTTCTAATCAATTAGAGTCTCATCATGACTCTTATACCTTGTATTCTCTTAATAAAAGGTCCATAAATTGATTGCAAGTAATTAGGACTCCAATATGTTTATTCCTTTCAGGCTCCGAGAATCATAAAAGATTTCATTAACTTGATTACCAAGTCAACTACTCTCTCAAAGATTCTCGGCATAATTCATTGTCATTCACAAATGGTTTTACATTATGCACATTTACACTTCATTCCTAAGCAAAAATATCACATCAATACGTAAACGAGATGAAAATTTTACGTCGAATTTGCAGTTTCTTTTCGTGATACTATCTTACGGGCTCTGAGCCTATCCGGACCATGAGAGGCTTCTGAAGATCCAAGGACGAATCTGCTACGATGGGCAGCGTTGAAGGGGACAAGATGCCTTCTATGTGTCAGCATGTTCAGCCACTGCTTTGTCCAATATATGAATCCTCTGCAACTTTAGGAATGCAAATCATTAGAATCACCGTGCAAGTAACACCAAGCACTACTACAAAAGGGGGCTATAGTGTCGGAGGGTGGTGTCGCTTTAATCTAATATAGTAGCGGATTAAGCAGTTGCGACACTAACTGAACATGACGTCGGATTTACTGTCGCTTATAAGCGTTATTAAATGTTTATGTCGCTTTTAAACCGACGTAAACATATATTTTAATAATTTTTAAATACTAGTGTCGTTTTTAAACCGACGTAAACATTATTTTAATAATTTTTAAATGCTAGTGTCGCTTTTAAGCGACATAAAGTGTGTATATATATATATATATATTAAATTATATATATATATATATATTAAATTAAATTTTATATCCCTAAAAACTATAATAATTATATATATATATATATATTAAATTAAATTTTAAAAAATTGGTGATCATTGGATTGGCTTAAATATACATACGATTCAATTTCTTAAGTGTTATACATACAAAATAAATAAATTTAAATCTATTTAATATATATATATACACACACACCATTGAACTTGATTGGATACGAATTCTATGAAACTAATTTCGACAGTTATAAACGAAAAATCACGATTTAACAGTTATTTTAACTCCGATTTTGATGATTTTTTACAGCTACACTCCTGACCCTATATGAATACAATGAATGGATTCGATCTTCAAATTAAAATATTTACACAAGTGGATACCAGAAAATCTTATGTTATACTTAATGAAAGTATAAATAAACTCTAAGTGTTAGTCAATCTATTGTTTTGATGGGATACAAATTCTCCGAAACTAATTTCAACGATCCCAACCGTCAAACTTGTTTGCATATGCTTCGAGATCACATCAGCAAAAAATCACAAAAAACAAACATTCAGAGATCAAGTAACGGGACAAAGCTTTTCGACAGTTATAAACGAAAAATCACGATTTAACGGTTATTTTAACTCCGATTTTGATGATTTTTTACAGCTACATTCCTTGACCCTATATGAATAGAATGAATGAATTCGATCTTCAATTTAAAATATTTACACAAGTGGATACCACAAAATCTTATGTTATACTTAATGAAAGTATAAATAAACTCTAAGTGTTAGTCAATCTATTGTTTTGATGGGATACGAATTCTCCGAAACTAATTTCAACGATCCCAACCGTCAAACTTGTTTGCATATGCTTCGAGATCACGTCAGCAAAAAATCACAAAAAACAAACATTCAGAGATCAAGTAACGGGACAAAACTTTTCGACGGTTATAAACGAAAAATCACGATTTAACGGTTATTTTAACTCCGATTTTGATGATTTTTTACAGCTACACTCCTTGACCCTATATGAATACAATGAATGAATTCGATCTTCAAATTAAAATATTTACACAAGTAGATACCACAAAATCTTATGTTATACTTAATGAAAGTATAAATAAACTCTAAGTATTAGTCAATCTATTGTTTTGATGGGATATGAATTCTCCGAAACTAATTTCAACGATCCCAACCGTCAAACTTGTTTGCATATGCTTCAAGATCACATCAACAAAAAATCACAAAAAACAAACATTCAGAGATCAAGTAACGGGACAAAGCTTTTCGACGGTTATAAACGAAAAATCACGATTTAACGGTTATTTTAACTCCGATTTTGATGATTTTTTACAGCTACATTCCTTGACCCTATATGAATAGAATGAATGAATTCGATCTTCAATTTAAAATATTTACACAAGTGGATACCACAAAATCTTATGTTATACTTAATGAAAGTATAAATAAACTCGAAGTGTTAGTCAATCTATTGTTTTGATGGGATACGAATTCTCCGAAACTAATTTCAACGATCCCAACCGTCAAACTTGTTTGCATATGCTTCGAGATCACATCAGCAAAAAATCACAAAAAACAAACATTCAAAGATCAAGTAACGGGACAAAGCTTTTCGACGGTTATAAACGAAAAATCACGATATAACGGTTATTTTAACTCCGATTTTGATGATTTTTTACAGCTACACTCATTGACCCTTTATGAATAGAATGAATGAATTCGATCTTCAAATTAAAATATTTACACAAGTGGATACCACAAAATCTTATGTTATACTTAATGAAAGTATAAATAAACTCTAAGTGTTAGTCAATCTATTGTTTTGATGGGATATGAATTCTCCGAAACTAATTTCAACGATCTCAACCGTCAAACTAATTTCACTATCAATTGATGGACAGAGTGTGGAGTGTGTGTGCTGTATAGCGCACAAATATGGCCCTCAACTTTTATTATTTTTTTGCTCTTGTGTAATACAAATTCTCAGAAGTATCCTTCCAATTAATTGAAGAGATCTTATTTTGGGACCAGGAGGTATTATACGGAATATATGTTTTCTTTTTTAGAAGAAAAAACCAGGTGGTTTGACTTGTGCAAAAATGGTGCTTTGCACACCCAAAAACCTACACTTATATGAGTGTCGCTTATAACCGACACTAAATTATTTTTTTAAATATTTTGAAATCCAATGTCGCTTTAAATTAGTTTTTTTAAATATTTTGAAACCCAGTGTCGCTTTTAAGCGACATATTGATTTAAATTAGTTTTTCGTTTTATAACCATCGAAAAGTTCCATAGAATTTGTATCCCATCAAGTTCAATGGTGTGTGTATATATATATTTATTAAGTAGATTTAAATTTATTTATTTTGTATGTATAACACTTAAAGAAATTGAATGGTATGTATATTGAAACTGATCCAACGGTCACCAATTTTTAAAATTTAATTTAATATATATATATATATATATATAATTATTATAGTTTTTAGGGGTATAAAATTGTTACATTAATATATATAATTATTATAGTATTTTTTAGGGTTATAAAATTAATATATATAAAATTATAGTATTTGAAATATCAGGCGGGAAATTTCCCGCTTGTTTGAATGGATGGAGAGACTTAGTGTCGGTTTTAACCGACGCTAGTGTCATTAAAGCGACGCTATGTGAATTTCAAAAAGTGTGTCAGAAGTTGGCGTCGGTTAAAAGCGACGCTAGTTTCATTAAAGCGACGGTATGTGAATTTCAAAAAGTGTGTCAGAAGTTGGCGTCGGTTAAAAGCGACGCTAGTTTCATTAAAGCGACGCTAGTTTCATTAAAGCGACGCAAGTTTCATT